AATTGCCATTCGACTATCCCGTAATTATTGACGCTCTATCGTGAAATTATTAAACATATTATTTAATCAACATTATAGCTGTGTTAGTAAGTAGGTATATCTATCGGATTTCACAAAAACATATATAGAAAATAATTGAAAATGAATTATTTAAAACAACCAAGGAAAAACTACTTAACTTATTATTTGTTGTTCGAGGGCTTGATCGTTAGTCAACTTCATTTCATGTACTGTGGTTTGATCAGTCGCCAAAAACTAATAGCAATACGTACTAGTTCTTTAGCCTTCTACAGGAGCTGGCCAAGACGTAGAGATAACTATTTTTACTTTAATTAATTAAATTTAAAATATTCATATCAGTCTATGACTTTCGAACTCAGATGCTCTGAATTAATACAGCGTAAAAAATAATTTTTAACAGTAAAAGAGGTGCGTATTGCATCATTATTAATTTTCCTATCAACAATTTTAATAGTAATAATAATGATGATAATAATAATAATAATAGTATTTTTTGAATTATTACATACTATGTCATAATATGTAGTATAGATTATATAATGTACTAAATATGTTTTATGTAGATTATATAAAACTATAAAGCGTCCACTGTTTAGTGTACACAAAGTTTGAATTATTTCACAAAACCATGAAAAATAAACTTTATTAAACGTATATGAGTTATTAAAATAATTCAACCATATTATAATCACTATCAAGTGAAGTAATAATTATTCATATCTGAAAATTAACTTTAACATTATACTTGTTCTATTATAGGTATTTTAATTTAAATTAAAAACGTAAGAATAATTCAATAAAATTTTTTCTCGTTTATAAACAATTGGCATCTTATTTTACATTATGATTATATTATTATATTATCTATTACCTATCTTTTGCCTACTATCTAGAAGTCTAGACCACATTATATTTAACCTAGATTTTAATATTTAACCCTTTGCGTACGAAAATCTATGATATATTAGTATTATGTTGGCGTGATAATAATAGTTCTTACCTTTGGTCGTACTTATAAATATGTTCCGTAGAAAACAAACCCATAAGTACTGGAACAAATTTAAGCAAGTCATAATACACGTACCTACATGGCTATATAAGTATAATAAAATAATTATATTGATGTATTTAACCAGTAGAAAAAAACCTATAATGGCCCATCAATGGATACCTACTTCACACACTCCCTGTCTGAAACTTTAAAATAATGGTAATTATATTTAATTAATTTTATTCTACTTTTTCTAATATTTCTTGTAAATCCACTGCATCAGTTGTACCATTGTAAAAAATAATAATTCACAGTCCACAGGTTGTACAAATACTATAGATTAAAATCAAAAAAAACCACCGACTTCCGTCTTGAAATGTCTGCGATTCGTTTGTTCTGCATCTTGTTGGGGTTTGAATCACGCCGGCCCTAACTTGATACAGACTGTGTACATTGAGAATATTATCATATTTAGGTCTATCGGGTCAGTATTAATTGTGGGTTAATAAATTGGTTTCTGTAAAGGTGCTGTGATTTCATTTGTGTGCACGTCAATTGTGTAAAGGTATTTATATCGAAATGTACCAAACACACAAGCCTGGACGGTAGGCCAAACACGAACTAACCGATAAAATATACAATATACTTGGGTGAGTTGGATCCCGGGATCCTATTTAAATTAATCTGTCATCAAATTACTACATGTTTAAAAATAATAAAAGAACTACTAAATTATATAAAAATAAAAAAAACCCATTGGTATTTGAGTTATTGTAGTTACCTATATGAACTATGTAGTACTATATGTAGGTAGGTACTTATTTTATTATTTTTTCGGCTACACTGATACTATACATATATACATGGAATCGATTTCCTGTGGAATCGGCGTAATATAATACAGACCAATGTCCTGCGAAATTGATTAAACTGACTCCTTTTTTAGGGACGCAAGTAGTATGTAGACGAACGTTTATTCCCGTTCGGGCCTTATGTAAACTCACCCTAATATAGAGTACCGTGAATATCACGGTAATCGTGTCTTATCATTCACTCCTTTATATCGTTTGAGAGCATCGATTTATCAGCCATCAAAAAACCAATTATTAAACCCAATAGTGTTTAGGTCCGCCAGTAAATAGCCGTTTTCAGATCACTCGTCGGTATAAACGCTTCAACCTTAGTTAGTGCTCAACTGTCGACTTTAATGGTATTTGTAATTCATAAATTACTACTTAAGAACATCGTGTCTTTCTATATTATAACCTATAACATAAGTAATACAAGAATTTCGAATTTATTGATTTCATTTTTAACAATACCATCAACATTTTAACGATGGATGATGATAATGGTACTTTTAATATAATGATAAAAAACCTCTATTCATGTCAATTTGACGTTAATATAGGTTCATCCTTGATATTTTTGTCATTAAAATAAATATTTAATACTTATTCGTTATAAGGGTTGTGTTTATATCCCGAACGGGGTTTTTAGTAGGTACTCGCGTTTTCGTTGTGTGTACCTATTATTTTCTCCGAATTAATTTAATGTAAATAATTGAGAAAAAAATGATTTTACAACAAACATTATTATATTTGTTACGTTTTACAAAATGAAATGACGTCATTTTCGAGACCAACCTTTGTATATGAGTGTACCAGTGAAATAGTAATAAATCCAATAACTAATAATTATTACACTGCACTTAATGCTTTAATCGACGGCTTTTTTCCTTTTCAAAATGCAACTTTTAATACGTATAATGTACGTACTACCTACATGTTACCTTAAATTAATGTCAACAATGTAATTTGAGTGGTAACGTAAATCCCAATATCATTGACGCCTAATAATATTAGACGACATTGTCAGTGCTTATAAAAGGCATTATCAGACAATCTTATGTACGCCATGTTGTAAAAAAAAATATTTTACAATTATGACTTTACCTTGATAATAATTATTACCTCTACTAATGGTTATAGATAATGTTCATAATTATTATGTTTAACAAAATATTTAAATTGGAAAGAAAGAAATTTAAAATGACGCTGCACGGTGCACAGAAAAATCGGTCGACACAATACAGGTATACTCGGGTATGGGTATGGTACTAACTATACCAATGTTGTGCAATGTGCTAATGGGCGTGCAAATATTTTAACAAATAAGTAGTCTGGTATCGTGATTTACATTGCATACTTACTATGTAGAATGTAGATGTATCCGATGGACGTCTACTTTTACTTAATACTTTGGTACGATCGTTGACATATTATACAGAGTCCGAAAGTAGCTGCAGGTATGTTTATTGATAGTGAATCAATTTTTAAAATGCAAGCCAGTTTCTAATTCAACAAGCAAATTCAATAAACATTTAACATTTTTTCAATTACCCACGACTGAAAAGAACTGGAAGTAACGTCATTGCCTAGGAAATATTGATAAACTTTGCACCATTGCCTGGAATAGTGGACATAATATTTACTAGTCAATATGACTGTATAATCACAGTCTAATTTTATCGAAAATATCGTTATTGACTATAATATTATAGTCATATTAATGTTAATTGTGTCTTTTTTTTTACGTCTAAACGGTAACATACATTTGATATATTATTTGTTTAACTATATCATATATATTATTATTATATTATGTTGTTACCTTTATGATTTGTATCTACCACAAACGCGTGGTGAAAGTATTTATTATATGGTAGTATGGGTAATAGGTATACAACGATTTAATATCAAAAACGTACGTATAAATAGGAATAAAGCAATCTATACGTAAATTGATTGAATAAAAAAGGGAGAGATCGAAAATCGTAACATTCGTAACACTATAACAAATAATAGTTTCGTGCAAATGTAATTTATATTAAGCCAAAAACCTTATTATTATGTCTCTTTTCCTTGGTACTAAAAGTGATTTTATGACTTAACACAGACTACACTCTATACAGAGACAGTTAAATTTGATTTTTAGAGATCATAATTTACCTTTATACAAGTACCTACATTAATACATCATAGGAAAGTCACTCATCTGCTGTATAGTACGTAGGTTTCGAATATATACTGTGTTCTTACTTTGTCATTGAGAAGGTCACTGTGTTACATTTGAATCCAGCGATGAACCACATATTTTAAGCGAATGCAAAATAATAGCTGTATACTCGGTGAAAATTGTAAGTTTCTACCAACACATATTCATTTTTGAATTACAAAAAAATCGATTTTGTCCGCAATTGGCTTTGCTTAAAAATTCTAGTTTTTCCTAAAAAATCAAGACGTCAGACATCTGCGAAATTCAAAAAATAACGTCATTATAAAACCAATATATTATACATTTATCCCTCTGATCATCAGAATCTAACATAATAAAAATAATGCACATTCTATCGATGACTCAAAATGCATTCTAGAACAGAGAATCTATTTAATGAACAAGTTTTTCTTAGTTGAGTGAGTAGGATAGGATAAGTCACTAGAATGTAATAATGGTAAAGTCACTTTATGAAAAAATAATTTATTTTTTTCTTTTATATAATAATATATACAATATATCACACACATATACAATATATAATATATACAAAATAATAATTGTTTATAATGTTTAAAAACTCATACTTTCAGTCAATTGCTATAATTTTAGATAAAAATGTTCGTTTAATATACATATATATGTTGCTTAATTTTAAACATCAATAAAACTACTAAAAAAAATTGTTATGAACATTTTATCATAATAATTTTTCAATTATTTGCTTTTCTTAAACCAGTACTTTATTATCATTTAGTAAGCATTTAATGATTTGACAAGCGAAATAGTGGACCCACAAATTGTGGTAATTCCTCGGCTATTATCAAGTCCTTAAATGCTCATAAATCATAATTCATAAATAATAGAATATTGGTTTAATGTTCCATATATTATTTGTAAATAAAAAATTTATGTCTTGGATATAAAAATAAAACGATGATGCATATGATTAATAAAAAAAAATTAGTATGAAAATAATATAAAATACATTTTTTTCGAAAAAGTGTTATAACTTATAACATAATATAAGTTTGCAACTAAAGTCGAATGTCCTTTAAAATGCATAGTAAACAAATTCAAAACTTGAAAGCTTTCATAAAATGAGTGTTTCACATTCATAACATTAGGCATATTCTATATATATAATATATATAATATATAATATATGTGTTGTACAAATATAAATAAACAATACAAAATAGTTGATAGCTTAACTTAATAACGAAATACAATCTACATCAAACTTAGATCACGATGGGCTTAATAAAATACTTGGTAACTCAAAGAATTGGGAAATTCTAATGATCGTGTACGTGTTCGTGTTCATGTTCGTGTTCGTGTCCGTGTGATGAATGATCGTGATCCGAATGTTGATTGTTGTCAACTGGGGCGTGACTGTGTTGATGAGCTGAAAAATATCAAAATATATTTTATATTTTATCAAATAAACTACAAACTGGCGTAAAACTGTAATAATGAAGAGTTAAGCAATGGTTATATCCTTATATCTTCACATTATTGGTTAGAGAATGAAATTATGAAAACGTGTACGGGTAGGTCGTAGGTAGGTACCTACGAGGTTTTGTTTTTCGAGCGCAAATATAATTATTAAAACTATATCTACCGTAATCTTGATTATTTGATGCACTTTACAAAGTAATAAGACATTGTGTATTTAATATTATAATGCATAATTGTAAACCTATGGCTCAAAGCTTTATAGTATAATTTACTTTTCAATAGTGTAAATAAATTGAATACCGTTTCATTAAAATGTATAAATATTTAAAATTTAAATACAATAGATTAGTTATAAATAAATAGTATTTATTGAATATTAGGGTTTTTAATTCATATTCTATGGTTAAAGTAATTAAATAATATTTATTAAAAACACTATTAAGCACTAACTAATGGATTATTAATAATAATAATCAACACATTTACACATTAAGAACAAATGGAGTAGGGAACATTTCGGGTAGACATACTATAGAAATAAATAACGATGAATTTTGAAAAACGTTTGAAATTATATTATGTCGGTATTACACTTTTATTACTTGGAATTTGATGTACGTATTTAAATAGAATAAAAGAAGGTTTGGTATTTAGTTTTTAGGTAGGTATACTAGGTATAATAGTCATACGTACTTGTATCATTTTATTACACTAGAATACTAAATAATTTCAATGCATTAGTAAGTTATAGTTAAAGTCAATATTCACTAGTCATAGTCAGAACTCTTTGTTTAAGTCTCGTTTGTTAATATTTTACCGGAAAAATTACAATGATCAAAAAATATTTAGAATAAATAATAATGTAAAATAATAAACAAAAACATTATTATTTTTATACTTATTTATAAGGTTATTTTTTAACTTTGTATTTAGGTAGTTTATCAATCGTGCAAAAATTGCGCATAATAGAAAATATTGTTTACTAGTTTTATTGCTTACTAAAACGTGATACCTACTGTGATACACCATACATGGTTTCCGATTAAAATATATGGGTAAGACATTTTAAATTAAAAACAATACCATCAAACGACAATAAATGAGTCATGAATATCAGGTACCTGATTACATGTTATTTTCTATTATTATTGAAAACATAAAAAATTAATTGATATTGTTTAACCCAATTGGTTTATTCGTTAAATAATTCATTATTACAATATTACCTACCCATATACCATATTATTATATAGGTAAGCACTTGATCGTATTTTGTATATTAAAACACTGTTTTGATAGTAACAGACAATAATTTATAATAGTTCGGTAATGTATTCCAATCAAGTTCTTTACTTATTATATAATTTGTAATGAACTAATAAAAAATTATTCGTATTTTCATTCTAACCATGTAAATTCATAAAAATTTCTGTTTAAAATGTGTACCTATTACGAACGATAAATTATCGTTATTTAAGTAGACATACTTTATTTCTACTAATATTATTAAAATGTATTTATTTGATCTAATTTCATATTATTCTTAAAAAAAAATATTTACTTGGTTTCGAAAAAATGTTGGAATTTTGTCAAGATCATAATCTCTTATTAATTTTTTTCATATGTGATCATATATTCTATGAATTTTTTTTTTCCATTGTATAAGCCATTAGGGATTACACCAATTTCAATAAATTCCTACAGCAGTATGGCTTTTTTTAATTTGTTTCCAAACTAGAAATTAATTATTTCTTCAGAATGACAGTGTTTCTAAGTAAATTAAATATCTATGAGTTTTTTATACATCTCATTTTTATACATTTGTCCTTCCTTCTGCATTTTATATGAATGTATAATGTAAAATGTGTAAATCGCAATGTAAAAAGTTAAACATCACACAGGTGACAGTGCTTTTAAAATGCCTTAATTTAGTGATATAATTCAAAATTGCCAAGAATTTTGTTAATTTTCCTGCAAGGTTATTCCATGTTAAACACAAAACAATACAAATAATTAAACAATGTTCACATGTGTGATGTGTACCCACCTTTTGAGTAACACTATACGCCTACAGGTTTGGATATTGTTTACTAATCCATTTAGTCAAAACCAGTTAACTACAACTATTATGTTACAAAATAATATATCATTATATACATTATAAGTTATTAATGATAACTTTTAGTTTACTTGATGTCGTTGAATTTTCATTTGTGATTTTATTTTATTAACAAGTAGCTATTACGTGCATTAGGTGCATAATTTAAAATAATAAATACACCGTACCATGGTAAATGATAATAATATGCAATTTGAATATACCAATATATCGGACATCAACTGTTTCAATAATTATAAATCATTTTTTAACATAAGACACTAACACGTATGCATTTAAATTGTAAAACATATTTTAGAACAAAAAAAAATAATCAATAAACCTATAATATAATTAACTTCACTTCAACGATTGTGCAGTGATACTGACATACTGGCAAGAATATTTTTAGTTTACTTTTTTATGACACATTTTGTTTAATTTCGAAATAAATTAAAGGACTCTACCTATGTATTTTTAAGCTTATTTCTGTTGATAAATACTTTTGTTTAAATGCAATATTTTTCAAATTAGTTAAAGCAAAAAAGCTCGCAAATCTTAAAATCACACAAAGTTAGCTTGTTTCCTTATTCTTACACTTAAAAAGAAAGCTTTTACTTTGAAGAAGATCCTTTCTGAAATTTTATACGTTATGATCCAGTGAATTTTTATTACCATTTCAATTTCTAGTGTTTCATTTATTATATAAACGGTATATAATCTCTATACATAAGTCAGCAGCTGAATACTACGAGCTGTAAGTAATACAATATATTTTACTATTTTTTATAACGTACCTAATTCTTTATCATATAATTAGTGCATCATATTATGAAACTAATAACTAATAATCATCAATAGCTGTAGGTTATCAATGGACACAGTACCTATAGTATTAAATTATTATACTTTAATAGAAACAAAGCAGTGATCCGCTTCAGATAAGATCTTGCTTAATACATTTTCAATTTATGCGATTGTGCGTGTAAATGTGTAATAGTTGTGTCTTCGGAGTAGATTTTGTTCATAGTAATATATTAATATAGGTTCCTAATATCACCAATTTCAAATAAGTAGAAATATCTATTTTCTCGTCGATCTATTACTCATCTTGTGATTTAAATTAAACTAATATTCTACTTTGTCAAATGGCCTGCTAATGCCCACCAAGAGCAATTAAGAAGTAAAAAATGAAAATACTTGAACATCAATCAAAATTATTGTTTTCTTTGCATAATACAATATTTCTACTGGTTATGTAACACCCATTGGTACCTACGTTTAGAATATAATTTAGTTTTTATAATACAATGGTACGTTACGTGTGTATTAAACTGCACGAGCTATTGCGACACAAAGCTGACAATAGGGTCCTTCTTTTTTCTCCTATTCACAGCCCTTTTGAAAAATATAAGTTTGAATCATGACATTAATTAAAGAACGTATATTGTGCAGCCATCTAACTTTACTATACATACGTTATTGTTAGATATAATTTGATGTCGTATTTACACTCGTGTGCTTGCAGCCTGCAATGCTGGCCGTTTTAACTGTTCAAAGATGATTTACAGCTGCAGCACAACACAATAGTTATATTTGTTTTTCTAAAAACCAAAATATATCCCCATAATATAGAAAGTCCATATCGCTCCATTTGCTTTAGGTCGATTACAGAGCTATATACGTTAATAGCTATTATAACGGTCAATGAACAAAAAGTACAAAGGTATTTCAAACAGATGAACGATCGATGTTTTTATCGAATTTATGTGCTAAATTAATTTCGTTCTGCAAATCTTAGGTGACCGGAATGCACACTGCACTGCAGTGGGAAAGTTCTTGAACGTGTGTGCTTATACCAGACACCTATAGTATTTCATATTTTATTGTATTATTAAATGTTTAGAAAATTAAAAGAAATAGTTAACACTGAATCATATGTAAATGGAAAGAATACAAGTATTTAAATAAATTTGACAATTTATTTACAAAAAACTAATATGAATAATTTTAAATTAAGTGTTTTGACATACTTCAATTAATCAGTTATTCAAAAATATATCTGACAAAGAGTAATATTTTCAAAATGTATAATGCGATTTCGAGTATTATCAGGTGTAATGAAAGATATTTTATTTTCATCGAAGAATAGCATAAATTAGGTCAAATTGTCAATGAATATAATAAAGTATGTGTGTATATATCCTTTTGATGATATACAACTATAAACTAGTTACCTACTACTAATTATGGTAGATAATGCAACTTAGTAGACAAGACAAGGTAACTCGATTAGAATTTACGTTGAACTAGAAATCACTTTTATCTTTGAAAAATGTGGAAATTATTTTCCATTCTTAAAAGAATAAAAAACAACTTAAGAAATAATTGTTTGAACATTTCAATATAAATGTATATACCGAATAGTCCGTATAATATAGTATTATAATAAGTACAGTAAAAAAAAAGTCATAAATCGGTGGAATTTACATTCGCCGGCAAATATGAATACAATAATAACAGGTAAGTTTAGTATTATACAATGCATTTAGTATTTTAGTGACATTTCAGATAACTGATGAATATATAATCATATTTTTTTAACTAAATGCAATTCAAAAATTACAATGACTTATATGATATAAACATTTATATCTACTCTCCTAAAAGGTATAATTTATATTTTAGTATAAAACTATTTTTTATTTAGCTTCAACTACTTTGGTAATAATTATCTGCTCACCATAATATAGTAATTACTCATTATAGTCAACATTAGGGTAAATCGGAAGTATTGTTAAATTTTTCACAATTATCATAATTTATAACTAACTAAACAAAATGTAATG